AACAGGCCATCGGAGAAGCCATAGACATAAGGAAATGTGGCCAAGCAGGTGCAGACCCTCCCGGACATTTTTACACTATAGTGCAGAGGGCTGCATATGGCCACATAGCGGTCATAGGCCATGGCTGCCAGCATGTAAAGCTCTGTGAGAAGGAGCGCAATGAAAATGTAACACTGGGTAAAGCAGCCAGCAAAGGTGATGGTCTTCTTCTCTGAAAGAAAATTAGCCAACATCTGTGGGGTGGCGTTGGAGGTATAGCACAAGTCAACAAAGGCTAAATTGGTGAGGAAGAAGTACATAGGGGTGTGAAGGCGAGAATCCAGTCGGATCAACACTATCATGCCCAGGTTGCCAAAGAGAGTAGCAAGGTACACGACCAGAAACAGCACAAAGAGGAGAGGCTGGAGTTCGGGGCGATCTGTGAGCCCCAGGAGAATGAATTCTCTTATTGCACTGCCATTTGTGATGGGCATTTTCTGAGAATCTGTGCCTGAACCTGAAACAAATGTGATCAGGTCAGACATGAAGGAACACAATAATGTTACTGATTATTGAAATTTTTTTTCCTAAATCCATATAATTCAAAATTAATACTATCATACTAAACAAACTTTGTGCTTCTACTAAACCATTTATATTTTTGCCTTTATATTGAATTACTATTATACTTATCTACACTTATACCTACAGTTATCCCTATAGATACTTATACCCATCTTTACTTATACCCATCCCTACCTATACTTATACCCATCCTTAAGTTGATATATATAGCTTATATTCATATACCCATACATATCCCCTTTCTCCATGAACTATTTTTGCCTCTCAAATTCTACTTATCCTCTAAAGGTCAAATTCAAGGCCAGTTGTTTATGAGACACTTCTCATTTCACTCGGTCATACACGAGATTGAACTCGTCCCTCTCTGTGTTCCTCTTCCAGCATGCCCCACATACCACTAATTTATTCCAGTCCACTGTTGTACTGTTACTTCTAAGCACATATTTATATACTGTACTTAAGAAGAAAAGAAAAAATAGTGTACGCATGAAAGAATAAATTGCATGCAATGTTTTACTCATCTCTATATCTCCATGAACTTTTCACAGTGTCGTATCCTCAGAAGAATTACTGGATTTTTAAGCAATTGCTTGAAAATTTGTTAATCAAGCAAATTACAAAAAAAAATGTTTTGTTTCAGAAAGTCTGACGTGATGATTCTAATGCAGATGTTCCCAGAATCACAATTTAGAAAAGCATGGTCACAGTGGTCCCATAAATATATGGTAAATAAGTGAACAATGAATAGTGAAATCAAATGAACACTCACATAGTATTCTGGGGATGGTTTAAAGCAATGACATAATCCTATATAATAAAGAGCTAATTTGCTAATTAGACCAAACAGCAGAATGACCGTCTGGATGATCTTTCGGACAACCCTCCAGATGACTTTCCTGATGAAGCTGGGGCTGCGAAGGCCAGCCAAGGCTGTGAGGGCCAGCTGAGGCAGCTGGGGCTGAGCCCCTTGCATGAATTTGATGCATCGGGCCTCTAGTGTGTTTATAGATAAAAGAAATGTTTTAGATAGTATTTAATTAATCACAACTTGTATTTACCTAGAAGTGTTACAATTTATATAGATTTTTAG